GCGGGCTGGGTGGGGGGCTCGGCCTCTGTGCTGCTTCCCTGGCTGCTGTGGTCTCTGCTACTGGTGGATGGGGCTTTGATGATGATGGTAGGGATAGGGATGGAATTTTTCTCAGATGGTCCGGCCGGAGGTGGTTCAGGCCGCGGCAGCGCCGGGGATGTTGGGGAGGACGCCGGAGGCAGGCTGCCCTTCTGGGGCTCGCCTTCCACCTTGGTCTGCTTGACCAGTGGGCCCTTGCGACCGCGTCCCGAGCGGGCGGGCACATACATAGCTGCACTGGCCGCCCTCGGGGGCAGCTGGAAGTAGCGCAGGGCGGGAGCCTGAGTGGGGCCGCTGCTGCCTCCGCTGCTACTGTGGTGGGAAGGTGATGGGACCCCCGAGGTCGGGCTGGGTCCTCCGCCTCTCCAGCCTCGAAGGCTGGGCTGGGGTCCCAGGGCCAGTCGAGGTGGGGGATCGTCGGGGGAACCTCCTGTCTCCATCTCTGGTGGGTGAGGAGGGTGTGCATGGTGATGGTGGGGCTGCGGAGGTGGGGCGTGATGATGGTGATGATGAGGTGGGTGGTGATGGGCAGGGGGTAGGGCTCCACCGTGATACAGGCTCTTCTCCCGGCCCCCACTACGGGTGTCAGTAGGAGACGGCCCATCGAAAGATGAAGGCGAGGAGGCAGGGAGGGGACCTCCAGATCCTGGGTTGAAGGGGCCTCCCCGGGGCGACGGAGTGAGGCGGCCGGAAGAAGAGGGGGCCGGAGGTGTGCTGTAGGGAGGCTCTGGGGGGGATGTAGTGGGTGGTGGGGGTATGTCCTCCGAACCAGGGACTGACAGACTACGGCTGAATTTCATGGCTGGGGGTGCTAGGTAGGGCCTGTCATCTTCCGCAGCCCCTGTTGAGACACATAAGACCAAGGGAGGAATTGGAGACTGGCAGAGCTCTTCCTAGAAACAACAATCTGCAGGTACGCAAGGGAAAAGGCTCAATTAAGTGGAGTTTCACCCTCAGGCCATGAGGGGGCGCCGTTTACTAATTGTTCAAAGGACTACGGCACATAATAAAGGTGACTTGGAGTGAGTTTAAAGCAGGCACGAGTAGAAAATGCTATCATTTTACACAGAGCTGAGCAGGAAGCAGCTGGCTGGCTCCTCCCTCAACAAGTATCTGCCTCCTCTTACTACCTGCCCGTTACCAAAGCTCCATCTTCTAAACACCAAAAGAGCCGGTTTTCTAGATGCTACCCATTCCAGGTCACACAGCTGAGAAGAAGCAAACCTGGGATTCATCCAAACTGGACCTCATCTAACCATCTAATGTGGTGTTAGAACACATTACCAAACCCAATCAGGTCTCTCATGTACTCCCGGGCCACATCCCAGGATGCTGGGAGACATACCAATAGATTTCTGCCGGAGCATAAGGCCAGGTCCGGGAGGCAGGAAGGATGGCCGGTCATAACTTGGCTGGGAGCGATGATGGGGATCAAAGTTCGACTTCAGGGCCGAAGGTAGAGGGAGAGAGAGAAGAGAGCAGAGAAGGGTCAGTCAGCGCTCTCCACACCCAAGGGTTACTTTCTCCTCTGAGTCCCTGCATGGCAGAAACACGGCATGGAGAAGCTAGAAAGCAATTCCTGGAAGACGTTCTCTGGGGTGGCAGTCAGGAGAAAGAAAAAAGCAAGCAGATGAGCTGTCCCACTAAACCAGGCACCACCTGCAGTCATGGCCTGAACCCAGGTCCCAGTGACACTCTTCTGGCCTGTAGCAGCAGCCACTCTCTGGCTTTCTGTTGCTTCTCTTGTTCACGCCTTTCTGGTCTCTTTTCCAGACTTGGCAGAATCTTTCAAAAAGAAATCAGGGCTGGGGAGATTGCTGAGTCGGCAAACTACTTTGCCACACACCCAAGCATGCGGACCTCAGTTCTAATCCCTGGTTGGGCAGCCCATGTCAGACCCACAGAAACACCCAGGTATGAGGCCAGACTGGCCCACAGCCACAGCTTCCACCTCAGAGCCTCCCATGAGCTCATGCAGGCCAGGAGCTGCTCTTCAATTTCAGTTCATTATTAGCTTAAAGATGTGTGTGTGTGTCTCCACTCACAGAGGTCAGAAGGGATGCCAGAGCTAGGATGCAGATGTGGGGTAGGCTGGGCTGGGCTACATGGGCCTGGGATCCAAACACCCATCCTCGTGATGACACAACAAACCCTCTTAACCCCTGAGCCATCCATCTTTCTAGCCCCATTCAATTCATTAAAGAAAAAATCTGTCTGCTTGACATCCATCAATTGTTCTATGCATTCATCATTTCTACCTGTCCATCATTCCATCTGTCTGATCCTGTGTCCATCATTCCACCCATCCATCATTCCATGCATCCTTCCATTATTCCATCCATCTTCCATCCACCATTCCATCTATTATCTCATCTCTCCATATTTTTTCTGTCTGTCCATCCATCCACCACACTGGCTGTGTTTGAATCCAGTGTGATGGTGATTCCATAGAAGACATGTGGACTCTACCCATCCTCCTGGACAGCTCTAGAGTGATGGCCTGAGAGAGTCCAGGCTTTGCTGGGTCTCGAGTACACCGTCCCTGCACTGGCCTACCTGGGTTAGAATTGTCTATTAACTGTGTTTGTCTCATCCATTCCACTAACAAGGACTGTTCCAGAAGTCATGGATGTCCTGGCTGTATGAAAGGCAGGCCGTAAATAAATTAGAGAACAGAACACGGAGTCCAGTGTGATGACTTACACTTGTCATCTCAGAACTGGAGAGGCTGAGGCAGGAGAATTACCATGAGTTCCAGACTAGCCTGGTCTACAAGTGAGCTATAGAGTCAGCTACAGCATGAGACCCTGTCTCAGAAAAATAACAAACATCCAAGAAAACAAAAGTAGCTGAACCCTGGAAAGACAGATACCCCAGGGAACCCACCAAACATCCAAGAAAACAAAAGTAGCTGAACCCTGGAAAGACAGATACCCTGTGGAAGATACTGGTTCCACAGGTCCCCAGGGAACCCATTAAACCAACAAAGAGTCTGGGAGTCAGAGAACAGGGTCCTCACTGGGATCAGGGTGATAGAACAGCCAGGGTGACGGGAGGGGCCATGGTGATGGAGGAAGGGTCAAGTTGACAGGGATGGGACATGGGGATGAGGAGGGAAAATGGGGGATGAGAGTCACAGCAGAAATATTAGTGTGAAAGTTGTGTTAGAGTGCCTGGAACTGAATGAGGAGCCTGAGGTGATGAGAGTGACAGAGAAGACTCCCAGGGAGAAGAGCCGGTGCTGAAGGGGGCCTGGCCCAAGGAAAGGACATTCTTTGTAGACCAAGATGGCTTAGAAAAGCTCAGGTCAAAACAATGGGTGAGGGGCACAGGGTCCTGAGTTTGAATCCCCAGCACCAACATAAAAATCTGGGCCTGGCTGCCCATGCCTGTAATGCCAGCATGGTGGTAGGGGTGGGGTGAGGATGATGTGTGGTGAGTGAAAGGTGGATCCCTAGATCTTGACAGACAGCCAGGTTGGACAGAACCGTGAGCTTCCGGTTCAGTGAGGATCTGTCTCAAAGGAACAACACAGAGAGTGGTGGAGGAAGATGCCTTTCCTGTGCTGGCCTGGAATGTGCCATGCTTGCATGATGCACACCACACACAGACACATGCCACACCATACACCACACCCACCACCGCACACATATATGACCCTCACCTCTCACATCCTACACCACACACATACCATACACCACACTCCATACACCACACACACACACACACACACACACCATGCACCATACACACCGTACGCCACACTCCATACACCACCCACACACACACCATGCACCATACACACCGTACGCCACACTCCATACACCACCCACACACACACCATGCACCATACACACCGTACGCCACACTCCATACACCACCCACACACACACCATGCACCATACACACCGTACATCACACTCCATACACCACACACACACACACACACACACACACACACACCATACCCCATACCATACACACTGTATACCACATATCACACAATACCATACACACATGCACACACTATCCACACACCATATACACATATTGGATATATCATACACATGTACATACACCGTGTACACACACCATAAATATACCACACACAGTATACACACAGACCACATACATACATATGCCGCACACCACATGCCTACACCACACACACCCCCACACACTTACAAAATAAATATTGGGGCAAAAAACATCCTGTCTGCTTGGGTTAGCTGTACAGTGGGGCCAGTCTCAGAAGACCTGTTCTGATTGGATATACATTTTCTGAGAGACCTGAGCAAGTGAGTTCAATTCCCTAACACTCGTTTGTCTTCTATAAAATTGAGGTGATCTTCTCTTTCTCTCTAAGGAGACTTGTTGAAAAAGACCATGATGAAAAAGGCAGAAGACCAGGGAAGGTAGATTTGGGGTCCATGTAAGGAAGAACTTTCTAGAAGTCTGCCCATATATAGAATAACTGAAATAGGAGTTTGTGAACTCCTGTCTTTAAATTTGTTCAAGCATCTGCTAGATGATCAACAAGGAAGAGACAGAAGTATCAAAACTTAAGAGCTGAGGCTGGGGAATGGCTCAGTTGGTAAAGTGCTTGCCATGCAAGCACAAGGACCTGAGTTCAACTCCTAGACCCCACAGAAAAACCCCAATGTGGTGGCATGTGCATGCGATCACAGTGCTGGGGTGGGGAAGACAGTCTAGCCTAATTGGTGACCACCTGCAGGTGCAGCAATGGACCCTATTTTTGAGAGACCTCCACAAACAGGGTGCGTGGCACCTGAGGATCGACACCAAAGGCTGTCCTCTGGTTTCCATTAGCACATGTACAAACACTTGCACACATGCCACTAAGAGAGACCCACTGGATGTGGCCTGAGGCTGTCAGATGACAGTTTGGGACCCATTCAACTCAGAAGTGGATGTGAAGCAGCGTCAGACTCCAGGGAGAGTGTTGGAGTGAGACCAGAGGGTGATGACACTAGGCGGGTGCATAGGAAGACGGCTGTGCTTGAGAGCTGTATGTGACAGGACAGGAGTTGACCTCATCTGACCCTCCTGAATGCAGCTAGGCTTCAACCAATTTTACAAAGCAGGAGACAAATCTGGGGATGAGGTAGCATGGTTCAAAGCCGAATAGGGAGAGGAATCAGGATTTAAATGCCCAGTCTGGCTGCGAGACCTGTGCCCTGGCTCTTTTCCCTGCCTCCTGTCTCCTTCCTTTTCTCCCTTTCCTCCTTTCACTCCACACCCTTCCTGACTCCTCTCCATTCTTCATTCCTGTCTTTCTCTCTTTCCCCTTCCTGCCCCTCTTTCTCCCTACCCTCTTTTTCTTCCCCCCTTTCTTGGTGCTGCAGCTTGAACACAGGGCCGTGCACCTGACGGGTGTGCACTCTTCCACGGGCTGCACCCCAGCTCTCAATTATTTCCTACTCTGAACTTGTGTGGCAGGATGGCACAGCAGATAACCTACCCTAACACTGTAGACATTTCAGATGTCTTAAGAAACCAAGGATGGCATGAAGGGAAGGCTGGGGCCTGTAGGGCAGTTGGCTAGCCAGACAAGTGGCCTCTAGCCTGGAAATTCCAGGATGCTGGCTGCAAAACCTGCTCCTTGCCTCTGCATAAAAGTGCAGCCTCTCTGGGGTTGGAGTGTGTGGTCCTGAGGGAAGAAATGATACACCTGTGCTCACATCATCCAGTGGAAAACTCAGCCCTTTTCTCCCTTAAAGTTTAGGCAGTGAGCTCTGCTAGTCTCAGTGAGACAGGCGTCTGCTCTCCCCACTCCCAGAGATTGCAGAGATTTCCCTACCCCATCACAACAATGGCTCATTTCTACAAATAGTGTTTATGCTGCTGCAGCTACAGCACTTAGACACCACAACCCAGCCTCCCTGGGTATTGTGCTGGACAAAAGACACTGATATCGTTATAGCAACAAATCTGTTTTACCCTTCGGTTTTCTGAGACAGGGTCTCACTCTGTGGCCTAGGTTGGTCCTTAAAACTCATGGCAATCCTCTTGCCTCAATCTCTGGACTGCTTCCATTATAGGTGTGAGCCACTACTTCTGACTTCAAAATTCACTTAAAAATTAGTTTGAAGGTTAGAGATGTAGTAGCACTTACAGCACTCACATAACACCCAGCAGTGAGGGCTAGGGGCGTGGCTCAGTGGAGAGTCACTGCCCAGAATCCCCCCCGCCCCCCCCCCCCCAGTGTAGCTGAGCGATAGAGTTTTGGCCTAGAGCAGTGGTTCTTAACCTTCCTAACACTGCAACCCTTTAACACAGTTCCTCATGTGTGGTGACCCAGCCATAACATTATTTCCATTGCTACTTCAGAACTGTAATTATGCTACTGTTATGAATCATAATGTAAATACCTGATATGCAGGATTTCTGATGTGGCACCTGTGAAAGGGGTTCTGACCCACACATTGAGAACTGCTAGCCTAGAATCTCCTCAGTGAAGGACTGGGAGCATGGTCCACTGGTAGAGCCCTTTCTAGGATCCCTAGTGAAGGAGCTAGAGGTAAGTCTCAATGGTGAAATGCATGCGACCCTAGGTTAAACCTCCTCCCCCAACAGTTATTCTGGTGTGACTGCCTCTCATCCGTATCACAGGCGGTCTCTGTATGTGTCACTCTGCACTTGATCTAAGACAGATGCAGTAAGCTTAGCTGAGAAAGCCCACATCAACCTGCCAATCAGATCTTGGGCTCACCTTAGAGTAAATGCCCCTAGGCCATCAGGCTGTGGGTGTGGCCTGAGGACAGAGCCTTGGCAGGCAGAGGGCATAGGCTAAGGGAGATGCCAGGCAGTGGGTTACCTCCAGAGGTGACAGCTGGAGGATAGAATAGTACACACAGGTTTGATGTGGTTGTGTTGGTGTCAAAGGGCCAAACCCATGAGGGCAGAGCCAGCAGGGTCCTGGTAGAAGGGCCCAGGCTGCATCTGGCCTTTTCTGAGTTTCATTTCCACATCTGTCAATGAGCTAACCACTGCTACATATCTCACAAGGAGATTCTAAGGCAGGAATGAGGTAATCTGTGTGGAACACTGTATCTGAAATGCGTTGAACATGATACACATCAGCCTTTTCCTCTGGGGAAGGGCAGGTGGAGAAGGTACACTGTGTGTCAGCGTGTGTGTGTGTGTGTGTGTGTGTGTGTGTGTGTGTGTGTGTGAGTGTGTGTAGTAGGCCTGAGGTTGGTGGCAATATGTGTCTTCTTCAATCACTTTCAACTCTATTTCAAAAAAATCATGTGTGTTCCCATGTGTCTGCATGTGGGGCTGTGCAGTGGAAGGCAGAGAGGGTATCAGAACTTCTGAAGCTGGGGCTATAGAGTTATAGACAGTTGTCAGCAGCCCCATGTGGGTTCTGGGAACTGAATACCAGTCTTCTCCAAGAACAGTTCATACTCTTAACCCCTGAGCCGTCTCTCCAGCCCCAACGTCGATATTTTAAAAGCCCTCTAACTGTTGAGCATCTAAAATAAGGCTGGGGATCTATAACTATGACATCATTATATTTTGTCTGGAGACAAGGTCTCCCTATATAGTTCAGACTGATCTCAAACTCACAGCAACCCTCCTGACTCTGCTTCCCAAGATCTGGATGAACCATCATGCCACATCTCCACAGTATCACTTTGTCTTATGTGAGGTCCCCAAGGTGGGAAGGAAAGAGGGGGCATGAGATTTAACATGAGAAGCAGAATTGTCAAGATTGGAGGGAGAAGATGAGGGAGGAGAAAGTTAGTGTGGTACTTCTCAAGACCAGTGTAGAGCTCAGATGGAGAAGACATCTGGCCTTCATATCAGCACACCATCCCCTCCGTTTCCTTCCCACACCAGTTACCTACCTCAGTGGCAAAGAATCCTTTGGGCCGGTGCTTGCCCAGGGACGCTAGGCCACCAGGCCCAGGACTCTCACTTGCGCTGATGGTCTGCTGAGCAGCAGCCAAGATCTCATCCAGTTTGTCTGTGGGGAAGCGAAGACAAAGAGACAGGGAAAGTGAAAGTTGCCTTGGCTCACCACAGAGACCTGGCTGCCTTGGGGTATGATATAGAACTCACGTGGTCCTATTTCTGTCTCTGGGACACCTCCCAGCCTAGCAGGCAGGCCCCAGTGATGACAAAGCACAGGAGGGGGGGCACAATGATGGTAGGAAGGAACCAGAGCTCCAGGGCACCGAGTGCTGAGCTCATGGGTGTCTGAGGGGCACACAGGAAAGAGGAGGCATGCAGCACCTTCAGGGGCTGTAGGGTAGGGGGAGTTGGCATCAGGGAGCCATGCTGTGATGTCTTACTGAGTGCCATCTGATATACAGTCCGTTTTTTCTCCATGCTGGGCACTGGTGCCGGCTGTTGTTCATACTCTGTGGGCAAAGGAGAGGGATGAAGCTCAAGGGTGCCTCTGCAAAGGGCATGGCCAGCAGGTGTGGACCAGCAGGTGTGGCCAGCGCAAGGTGGGGGCAGTGAGGGGCTGGGGTCAGGGGAAGGGTAAATCCGCCGCTGGGGTGGGTCGGGAGACTGGGACCCTCCCACCAGACCTGAGCCCACTCACCAATTTTCTTCTTCCAGGGGGAGACTAGCCCAGGGGTAGACAGCAGAGGAGCCAAGAGTTAGGACATCAGGGGAGGTGAGGGACCCCTCTTTGGAATTGCCCACCTCCCTAGGGACCCAGATAGTGGAATAGTCAGTCATCTGCACAATTGGCCCCAGGTCAGGGGAAAATGAGACCCGCCCCAGGTCATGAGATTCTGCCTGCAAGGCTCAGCTAACCTTCCTCTGTTGGGTGAGGGAGCCAGTAGAAGAAAGGGGAGGGGACAAAAGGAGAGTGACCCATAGCAGAGGGACACATACAGACCCCCAGAGACCAGGGACAGAGAAACAGAGATACAAAAGGGCAGAGGGAGGACTCAAAAAACTCCCCAGTGACACACAGGCAGGCCACAGAACCTGGCCCAAGGACATGGAGGGGGGGGCGGGACAGGAGGAGGACAAGGACCCCTCGTGACTAACAACACTGACAAAGTCAAGGGTGGTCCAGCCCCTTGCCCCTGGCCGCCCCTGGCCCTCGGCCCCGGCAGCCCCGTAGGCTCACCCATTTCCTCCAGCTCTGAGGTCATAGACTTGGAACGCAGGGAGATGGCTGGGGGCGGGAGCCGCTTAGCCTGCTGGGATGCTGGAAAGGTGGGGGTGGTTGGGAGGTGTCAGTGATGCAGGGAGAAGACCCCTTGACACCCATTCCTTTCACTTGCTTCCAGAACTCTGAGAACAGCACCCCAGCATGCTGAGCCCTCTGTGCCTCGGTTTCTCCCCAGAAAGGTTAGGAACAGGCAGGCCTTGAGGAGGAAGGAGGGCCTCGTGGGGTTTTGAGAAGTGGCCCTAAGAGTTTTAATTTGGAGGCTGCAGAAGCCCCTTTCTCATCTTGATACAAAGTCTCATTTGTATCAAGCTCCTCTGCTGGCTCAAACTCACTAGATAGCCCAGGATGGCCATGGACTTCTGATCCTCCTACCATGATGCCCCTCCCTGCAGCTTTGGGGCTGGAGCACAGAGCTCTGTGTGTGCCAGGCCAGCTCTCTACTACACAGCTGAAGCACAGCAGCGAAGTACCTTTTTTGTGAACGGCTTCGTCCATGTCTGGGTGTCTGGTTACCATCACCACCTTGACCATCAGTGTGTTGCCTCCCTGGCGGATCATATTGACCACCTGACGGTGGCCAACCTTTACTACATTCTGTCCGTTCACCTGTGTCATGAAGGAAGGGTAGAAGACTTTCAGCTCTAGAGTCCCCAACAGAATGACCTCCTACCACACCCTTTCTCATCCTTATAACCTGTGTTCCCAAATGGACTGACCTGTACACTCTAGTCACCCTACACCCTTCATGTCCGTGTATTGCATATGTTGGGGGACAATACTTTTTAATTTTTATTTTAAGGTACAGTATACTCTGTGGCCCAGGCTGATCTGGAACTCACTATGTAGCCCAGGCCAGCCTTGAACTAGTGACAGTGGCGGTTTTCCTGGAATAGCTAGTTGGAATGACAGGTATGAGCCATCACACTAATATGGGTACCTTTCAAGGGTCCAGGAAGAGTTGCCTTATGGGATGACTCCATAGACTAAATGGGCTGAAGGGGTGACCAGACTCAGGGGTTGTCCCCAGGATCCCCAGGAGGACAGTGTGGCTGGGGCTCACCTCGATGAGGAAGTCTCCCATCCGTAGTCCAGCCCGCCATGCCACGCCACCCTCGTCCACAGACTCGAGGTACTGCAGCGCCGGGAAGGCCGGGGTGGGGGTGAATTCCTCGATGGGGGTCTGCGCTGCAGACGGGGAGGAGCCGGCGGGGGCGGAGGGGAGGGGGTGGAGAGGCCGAGCAGGGGATGGGGCTCAGACCCAAGTCACAGAGGACTCACTGGAGCTGAGGGACCAGCACCCCAGGGTGGGGCAATGGGTGGGCTTAGGGTCTTTGTGTGTGTGGGGGGTCCCTTCTCTTTTTCCATCCTCCCTATGCAGGCCCTGCTTCTTGGGTCAGAGAGGCTCTCCCTTCCCCTCCCCGGCCAGCACTCACCCTTGGCCCCCCGTAGCACGAACCCGAACCCCTCACTGTCCTTCTTCTGCAGTAAGACTGTCTTCTCCTTGATGATGTAATCACTGGCAGGAGGCAGGAGGAAGGGATGGGGGAGGAGAGGGCTCATGAGGTACAGAGTGGGTGCCCCACCCAGGCACAGGGTGCCCCAGCCCCTGCATGGAGGCCATTCTCGGCAGTTCCCCACCCCCATCCAGTCTGTACTTATGCTCACAACGCCCCCTCAGAGCCTGGGGTGCTCTTGTTCCCGCCCACTCTTTCCTCATTCATCCTTCCGTGAATCCATCCACCCATCCATTCAACAGAGCTGTTACTGAGCCCACGGTGCACCAGGCACCCAGTGGGGTGGGAGAGGAGGCTCTCAATTCTCACAGCCCTGCCTGGGTTCTAGCTGGCAGCTTGAACCTATCTGTCTGTGACCTTGAACCTATGATTTTAACCTTTTGTGCTGCAGTTTCCAAGTCTGTCACAGGGGCCTGCCTGAAGAGGCTGTGAGGGAGTTCAGAAGCTGTGCTATACACACAGGGTGTACCACAGAGCCCAGGAGGCCAAGGTGCTAAGTCAAAAGGGTGGATGCATTAACACATCTCATCTCCTTTACTACAGGAATACCTTCAGAGGACCAATCAAAACAGTGTTTACATTACCCATCCAGTCTGTTAGCCACTAGCTGCACATGGCTATTTTTTTAATCAACACTAATCAAAATTAAACTTAAAGTGTCAGTTCCTCAGTTATGGTGGCCACGTGATGTTCCTGATGACAGTGCTGACACAGAACATTCCTGCGTTATTGCAAGTTCTGGTGGACAGTGCTGACTGATGCATCCCTTGATAAGTTTCAAGTGTGTCACACACAGGCTGTCAGTACACTCTGGTCACACACCAATTACCAGTCCTGATGATGCAAGCCTGTCAGCTCAGCTACGGGAGGGGGTTGCTGAGAAAGGAGGGTCAAAGCTTAAGATCAGCCTGAGCAACTTCGTGAGGCTCTGTCTGAAGATAAAACGTGGGATGAGAGCTAGGGATACGGCTTAGCAGTAATGCCCTTGCCTAGAATCCCCAGTGAGGGTCTAGGGTGTGGTTCAGTTCTAGAGCATATGCTTAGAATCCCCCAGTGAGAGGCTGGGGCATGGCTCAGTGCTGGAGTATCTGCCTAGAATTCCCCAGTGAAGGGCTGGAGTGTGGTTCAGTGCTGGAGTATCTGCCTAGAATCCCTCAGAGAGGCGCTAGGGTATGGATCATGCACAAAGGCCCTGAGTTTCATCTCCAGCATTGGAAAAAATAAACACCAATTCCCCCTGAATACAGTGTCAGTTCTAAAGCTATATATGTCACCAGTACATCTTAGTAGGATACAACACAGAGAAAACCAATAAAATTAAAATCATAGCACTCATTTCTACGCTTGTTCAGGTTGGTTGCAGCACAGCCTCAGATCCTGGATCATCACTCTACCCCCTCAGCAGGCTACAGCCATTCCCTGTTCATCCTAATATATGGACAGGAGCACCTAGCTGCTCTACTTCAAGCCAATTCCTTGCAGAATACCCCAGAATATTTAGCACCACCAGAATACAGGCACTGCAGTGCCTCTCTGCAGCAGCAGTCTGTGTTAGCATCTAGATCCCAGGACGAGGGCCATGTACCCTCTCTGTGTTGCAGCAATGCTCAGACCCCCCCCACACACACACACACACACACACACACACACACACACACCAAATTCCAGTTAGATCTGTGTGGCTCTAAGCCACTCCAATAATATCCATGCGGGCTCCCCAATTACCCACCCCCACATATTCATCTAACAGCCCTCCACAAGTACTCCAGTATATTTCAGTGACACCCCCACATATCCCAGTATGCCCCGATTCTGACTCCCCTCACTTTGATATCAGTGTATTCCCATCACACGCCCTCTGAGTACCTCCCAGCACACGGGGATAACACCTAATTGTGTGCCTACTGTGCTACCTCCCCCCATCAGTGCCTCTGTAAGCTCCCATGACCCCACAGCTCCCAGGCAAAAACCCATGCACCCGTGGGTCCATCAGTGGGTGTTGTTCACATGCCTGTGTGATGCCTCCCTTCTGATTGTGCTTAACGGGCACTGTGTCATGCATGCACACAGAAGCATATCCCAGCCATTGTGCTTACCCAGAAGCCAACAAACCTGTCCACAGGTTCCCACCTCCTCCCTGATGGCTCTCCCCATCCCTACCCCCAGCAGTCTTTGCAGCTGCATGGAGCAGGTGCTGGGAAAAGATTGAAGGGCTGAAGCCAGGGGAGGGGTGGGGGGGGAGAAAATTGGGCCTAAGGAGGCTGGAAGGAAGGATGGGGTGGAAGGTGAAGTGAAGAAAATTGGGCCTAAGGAGGCTGGAAGGAAGGATGGGGTGGAAGGTGAAGGTGAGTGAGCAGCCTGAGAGGCTATTCAGAGGCCAAGGCAGTTTGGCTCTGACTGTATTCTGTGACAGTCTCACCCAGGCACATGGCGACAATCTCTCCTGAGTCCTTATGTCCTTACTACTCTGACACCCTCTCCACATTCCCAAGAACCTCCCCTTCAGGCAACAGTGCCCTTCAGGCTCCCCCTTTACACCTCTCCGAGGCAAAGTCACCTTCAGTCATTCATGCCTGCCTGCCATTCTCACCTTTCCCCATCTTCTGAAGTCTCTCTCTGTAGTCTAGGCTGCTCTACAGCTCCCATGAGTCTTCCTGTTTCAGCCTCCCTAGTGTTGGGGTGATGGGTGTTAGCCACCACATCTAACTCTGCAATCTCTTTCAGCCCCAGCTCTACACACAAGCCTTCTTCCATGTACCCTGTCCTCAGATACAAGCCTCTTGTTTGTATGTCAAGGCCAATGCTCGCTGCAGGCCTGTAGCATTGAAAGACCTTTGCAACAGACCCACTGGGTTAGCTCCTCACAGCCAGTCCAGGAAGAAGACTTAACTACTACTTATTTCCATTTTATAGGTGGGGCAGTAAGGCACAGAAAGGTTAAACTCTCCAGAAACACACAGTAATGTTCTGTATTTGTTTTCCAGTCAGAGTCTCATTATGTAGCTCTGGCTGTCCTAGAACTCACTATGTAGACCAGGTTGGCCTCCAACTCACAGAGATCTGCTTGTCTCTGCCTCCCAAGTGCTAGGATTTGAGGTGTGTACCACTATACCTAGCAGATAAGTAACGTTCTTTAATACCTAAGAAAACACTTGGAAGCTGCCAATGGTGGTTCACACCTTTAGTCCCAGCACTCGGGAGGCACAGGCAGGTGGATCTCTGTGAGTTCGAGACCAGCCTGGTCTACAAGAGCTAGTTCAGAACAGCCTCCAAAGCCACAGAGAACCCCTGTTTCAAAAAACAAACAACAACAAGAAAAAAGAATATTCGGGTAACTGCAGTTATAATTCTTTCCAGATCACACCATCCAAATACATACACCCAGACACATACATTTACCCCAAAGTTCAGCAGGAGACCTCTATGCTGGCTAGTCTTATGTCAATTGGACACACAAACTAGAGTTATCTGAAAGGAGGGAAACTTAATTGAGAAAATGCCATCATAGAATTCTGCGGCAAGGTGTTTTCTTAATCAGTGACTGATGGGGGAAGGCCCAGCCCATTGTGGGTGGTGCCATCCCTAGGCTGGAAGTCCTGGGCTCTATGAGAAAGCAGGATGAGCAAGCCATGGGGAACAAGCCAGTGAACATCATATCTCCATGGCCTCTGCATCAATTCCTGCCTCCAGGATTCTTCCGTTTGAGTTCCTGTCCTGACTTCCTCCAGTAATGAACTGTACTACAGGAGTGTAAATGATATAAAACCTCTCCTCCTAAACTTGCTTTTTGGTCATAGTGCTTTGTTACAGCAATAGAAACTGTAACTATGACACCACCATGTGCCCCTCAAGCCCCTGGGGTTTATCCTAGCTCCTAAGGTTTATCCTAGCCAGTCCACACCATCCTGTATCACCATGTTTCCCCAAATAACCCCAATCAGCCAGCTGGTCTGAGGGTACCGGGAGACCACCCCTGCACCAGTCATTCTGCTCATCCCTCTTCCAAGGATCCTCTTTGTATTTCTGCCACCTCCTCATCCCTGCATCACGAACCATGCAATGCCAACCACTTTTGGGTCATTTAATATTTAAGTCATTACAACATTCCCAGGTGGGACTGATTGTGAGTGTTCCCATTTTTAAAGCCATGAAAACTGAGGCACAGAGCAAGGGCCTGCTCAAGATCACACCAGTTAGAATTGTCAAGACCACAAGCTAAGTTTCTTGAAAGCCACACATCCCAGTAGTACTCAACCTCCTCTAGTACCACAGCACCCTGGTCTGTCCCTCTGTCTCACATGGACCCCAGCATGCTGCAGAAGTGTCTCTCTATTTCCACAGCTCTTTGTGTGCCCCTGCCTGATGTAGTACTCCGGTCCCAAACCTCCTACTTGCTTTCCTGCCTCTCAGCTTCCTGCAGGCGCCTCCATCCTTCCTCCCTGTGAGCCTCCTCCTTCGTCTACACCTTACTCCACGCCATCCTGTATCCCCATGTTTCCCCAAATTACCTCATCAGCCAGCCATCTGAAGGTGCCCTTAGGATATTGCAGGAGACCACCCCTGCACCCAGTCACTCTGCTCATCCCTTCTTCCAAGGGTCTTCTTCCTGTTTCCACCACCTCCTCGTCCCTCCCTACCTCAGCCCTTCACATTCTTTCGCCTCCTATACAGAGAAGCTAATGGTGTCCCCCAATAGCCCCCAAGTTCCATTAATACTGTCTGCCCTGCCATCCATCCAAACTCTTTCTCTTTTGGTTGTCTGCAGCTTGCCCTACAGACCGGGCTGGTTTTCCCAGCAGTCTCTTTCGCTCACATTCCCTGCAAACTCCAGGCTCTGGTGCCCGGTCCTTGCCCCCAAATCATTTTCCTACTGCCTGCCTTCTATCCTCATCCCAGCACCTTTCTTGGCATGCAGCACCCCCAAACTCCAGTACCCACGCATCCCATTTCCCCTCTATCCAGCAAACCTGCTCCCTCCCCCCGCAATCTCCCCCCCCCAGTCCACACACAGCACCACTTTAAGTGGTGCGGACTACCTGCCCATCAGGAGCTGGCACCATGTCCTTCCCCAGGCCATCCCTCCGTGTCCCAGAGAAGGTCTCCAGGGCTTGCTGGTTCCCTCATGGAGACTGCGGC